AGAGGCCCAAAACATAAATACACCAGAGAAAAATCCCACTCAGTGTATGGTTTCCGTTGAGGAGATCGGCTGGGAACCTGGGAGCCCAGGAACCCAGAACCTACCGAAATCGGCCCGGAACCAATAACCGGGAACCCGGGAACCCGGAACCGGGAACCCAGGAACCCAGCCTGCTGCCAAAATCGGCGGGAAACGTTCGCCACATCTCCCAACTTCCGCTATAGGACCCCCTCAGCGCAAGCACCGATTGGGGGAACTTGAAGGGGCGTCTTCGTGAACTCGCGTCACGCTGAGCAGCACGGCTCGCGCGCTACTCTGTCCGCGCCGCCGACCCCCCACGCCGCGCCGGACACGGCAGCCCGAGGGGCGAAGGGGAGCCCCCCGAGCAGCCGCCACGACAGGCGAAGGCCCTGGGGCCCCAGGCCTGCGCACGCTCCGCGGGCCGACCTCTGGAGCCACGCTGGAGGCCAGCCCACAGGAGACCTCCCACAAGGGGCCCCACCTTGGGGCCCCAGGACATCCACAGATGTTTGCTGGTGTGGGAGCGTCGCGCCCTCCATCGCACAAACCGGCGGAACCCAAGGAACCCAGGGCACCCATGGGGCAAGCGGGGTGTTCCTTGGCATGGGTCTCCTCTGTTGCGATGAGCGCATGGAGATGCAGAAGCAAACGGTGGCAGAGGGCAAGGCTCGACCAGAACCGTGTGTTCCATGCTCGGCTTGCTTTAGTTGTCCCTCGTTCTGTCTTTTTGCCCGCCTTTGCTGCAAGACGACATCCATGCGAAAACGGTCCACGAGATCGCCAACACACCGGTGAGCTCGAGCCATGCCAAGGAGAACGCCTCCGCGGCTGCTTTTTGCCGACGCTCCAGCCGGGGGGCGCTCGGAATCCCAGCGGGGCGCACTCGAACGAGGGCCGCTCGGCCTGGTCTGGCCGACGGACATCCTCGCTGTTTCCGAGAGGCTGGCCAGGTGAGTACCCGGTCGCGGGAAGAGGTGGGCCCTGGTCCGGGCCCCCCCTCACCAACCCCCACGTGCAGGGTAGGGGGCAGAGAGGACGTGTGTGCTTTCACGTGCACGGGCGCAGCTGTCGATGCCTGGAGCACCCTGCGTGCTTCGCGCACGTGGCGCGCCTGGCGTGGCTGGAGCGCGTAGCACACTTGGCGCATCTGGCGCACCAGGCGCGCTTGGCACTCTTTGGGCCCCTGGCGCACGTGGCACACTTGGCACGCGTGCGCGGCACCTCGCAGCTGTCGTGCACATGGTGTCTGTCTGTCCATACGATGGCAGCTTCTGCCTATGCAATGGCCAAGCTTTGGTCCTACCCAGATGGCGGGAGGACGAGCGGGAGTGAGCGAGACGGCTTGCGGCGTACAGTCAACCCGTATAGTAACGATGCGCGGCAAGGATGCAAGGGCCTTGGAGGGCCATGTCGACAATCTGCGAGCGGGGCGCGGCCAGCGAAAGCGGCCAAGGATGGACCGAGGAGGCAAGGATGCAAGGGTACCCTTGGGAAGGTTGTCCATCCTTACTATGCGGGTGGACTGTACCGACTGGGAACTTTACCCTCGCCCCACCCCCCTTCCGTGCTTTGTGCGGCCGACATTCTCTCTAGCCCAACCCAACTGCCGACTTGGAGAAGGGAAGGAGGAGGGCGGAGGAGCAGGATGGTCTGGCCGCCCAGCGATTTACAGCCCAGCCCAACTGCCGACTTGGAGGGGGGAGGGAGGGGGGCGAAGGAGCAGGAAGGTCTGAAGGTCTGGGTGTCCAGCGAGCTCTAGCCCAGCCCAACTGCCGACTTGGACGGGGGAGGGAGGAGGGCGGAGGAGCAGGAAGGTTTGCAGGTCTGGGCGCCCAGCGAACGCGAGGTGCCAAGAAGGGAAGGGCGGCGCTGCGGAGGAGCACGGCGAGGACGAGGACGCGGACGAGGGAGAGTGAGGAGGGGAGCGAGGACGAGGACAAGGGAGGAGGAGAGGAGGAGGAGACGAGGGATAGTGAGGAGAGGAGTGATGACGAGGACAGGGGAGGAGGAGAGGAGAAGGAGGAGGAGGAGGAGGAGGAGGAGGAGGAGAGGCGAGGAGGACGACGGAAATCGTGTGCTGCGGCCAGATCCGTGCCCTCGCTGCCAGGGCAGCGAAGCGACGCGCGACCCCATGGAGAGACGCTCCGCGCGGAGCACCCTCGCAGAGCGGCCCGGCATCCGCGCGCCCAGACCGCCTGGCCGACGGCGTGCGTGTGCCCAGCACGCGAGGGAAACGGGAGGAGGGCGAGGAGGGAGGGAGGAAGTCTTGAAGAGGGAGGGGAGGGGAGCGAGGGAGGGAGGGGGAGGGGGGGGAGGAGGGAAGGAAGCCTTGAAGAGGGAGGGAGGGAGCGAGGGAGGGGGGGGAGCGAGGGAGGGAGGGGGGGAGGGAGGGGAGGAAGCCTTGAAGAGGGAGGGGGGAGCGAGGGAGGGAGGGGGGGAGGGAGGAGGGAGCGGGGGGCGAGCGAGCGAACGAACGCCGGATTCGCGCGTGCGCAGCGCTGGCGCGCGGCCGTTGGGGCGTGGCGGTGGAGGCCGTAGCCTCGGTTCGGAGGGAGGAGGGAGGGGGGGAGAAGAAGGGGTGCGAGGGACGACGGAGGGAGGAGGGACCGAGGGAGGGGGAGGGAGGGAGGGAGGGAGGGGGGCGGAGGAGGAGGAGGAGGAGGAGGAGAGAGGAGGAGGAAGGAGGAGAAGGAGGAGGAGGAAGGAGGAGAAGGAGGAGGAGGAGACGGAGGAGGAGGAGAGGAGGAGGAGAAGGAGGAGGAGGAGGAGGAGGAGAAGGAGGAGGAGGAGGAGGAGGCAGGAGGGAGGAGGAGGAGGAGGAGGAGGAGGAGGGAGGAGGAGGAGGAGGAGGAGGAGGAGGAGGCAGGAGGGAGGAGGGAGGAGGGAGGAGGGAGAAGGAGGCAAGAGGAGGGAGGGAGGATGAAGGATGTAGGTAGGTAGGCGTCCTCCCGTAGAGGATTTGATGTTGGGCCCGTGGGTCCGGTTCCTTTAGCGTAGGGTCGCAGGGCCAAAGGGGCGACTGCGTCGACTCCGCGACGTCCACCCAGGAAAAGGCAGGCTCGCTCGTGCAGGGGGGGGCGGCCTGTGACTGCCCAGCCCGCCCTTGCCCGCCTTCGAACCCCACCCTGCGCAGACGAAGCCGCACCTTCGCCCTAGAAGCAAACGCAAGGAGAGACGAGCGGAAAGCCTGGGGAGAAGCCTCTTCTCAGGACCCCTCCCGCAAGGACCCCCGCCCTTACTCCTGGCCGCCTCCTGTCGACGCAGTGCGGCACTGCGGGACTAGGAGTACGGGTATGTCGGGCGTGTCTCCCTACAGGGGGATTTTCGACGAAAAATGAAAATACCCCCAAAATACCCTAAAAGGTCAAAAAGTGCTCAAAAAATAATCCCCAGACGATTTTTGTAACATGTTTTGATTCTTTTGGGTGTATTTTTTTATGTTTCACCCCAGGAGGCATGGTGGTCACCCCAGGAGGCAGGATCTCGGGGCGGCCACGGAAGACTGCGCAAGACACGTCGGCACGATCGGCACGCCACGGGCAAAGCTTCGTACCGACCCGGCCCGGCCCGACCCAGCCCAGACCCCCAGGGGACTCGGACGGAGAGATAGGCGGCAGGCGAGGGGGGGAAATGAGAAGGAGAAGGCCTTCTCAGAAGGCGGGCGGCGAGACTTCTTAGAACCCCTCGCGCCTTCTGAGAAGTTGTTCTTGTCTTCCGTGAAGGCTTGGGAAACTTCTCAAAGGCCGGGGGACTTCCGAGACCTCTGAGAAGGCCAGCCCCTTCTCACTTCCCCCCCTCGCTCGCCGCCGAAGGGAGGGGGGGACCACGGGGAACGTGGGAGGGGGGAAGGCGAGAGGCAGGAATGGCGGAGGGAGAGGAGCGAAGGCACAGAGGGGGGTGGGGGGGCAAACTGACGCCACGGAACACGAGGAGGCAAGCTTGACACGCATGGAGCAACAACCGCACGGTTATTCCTGACCAGCGGCTGGGCACGCAGCTCCCGGACAGCCAGCGGGCCTGGCCCCACGCTCACCTCCTGCAGACAGCGACTCCAGCGCCGACGAAAACGACACCGACCACAGCGACCACGACGACGGTGCCGACGACGACGAGAGCGACGACGACGACGGATGACGACGGCGAAGACGACGACGACGCCGACGACGACGACGAACGTCGACGAACGAACGACGACGACCACGACCACCCCCACGACCACCACGACCATCACGAGAACGACCACGACCACGACCACGACCACGACCACGACCACGACCACGACCACGAACGACAAGGGAGCAGGGAGGAGGGAGGAGGGAGGGAGGGAGGGAGGGAGGGTTGGAAGGAGGGAGGGAGGAGGAGGGAGGGAGGGAGGGAGGGAGGGAGGGGGAGGGAGGGAGGAGAGGAGGAGGAGGAGGAGGAGGAGGAGGAGGAGGAGGAGGGAGGAGGAGGAGGAGGAGGAGGAGGAGGAGGGAGGAGGGAGGGAGGGAGGGAGGGAGGAGGAGAGAGGAGGAGGAGGAGGAGGAGGAGGAGGAGGAGGAGGAGGAGGAGGAGGAGGAGGAAGAAGAGGAGGAGGAGGAGGAGGCGGAGGAGGCGGGAGGAGGAGGAAGGAGAGGAGGAGGAGGAGGAGGAGAGGAGGGAAGAAGAGGAGGAGGAGGAGGAGGAGGAGGAGGCGGAGGAGGAGGAGAAGGAGGAGGAGGAGGAGGAGGAGGAGGAGGAGGAGGAGGAGGAGGAGAAGGGGGAAGAGAGAGGAGGGAGGAGAGAGGAGAGAGGAGGGAGGAGGGAGGGAGGAGGAGGGACAAGGGAGGAGGAGGAATGAGGCAGGAGGAGGGAGGGAGGAGGCAGGAGGCAGGGAGGAAGAGGGACGAGGAGGGGGGAGGTGGAGGGGCAAGAAGAGCACGAGAAAAGGGAACCGGGGAGAGGAGGGCGAGGGCGGAGGACCTGGGGCGCGCAGCGGCGGGGGCCGTCGCGCGAGGCACCGGGAAGGCGATGCTCTCGCCCGAGCGCGCGAAGTTGCTGCGGAACCTTTCGAGGCGCCAGGAATGCCCAGAGATCCGACGTTTCAGCAAAGATTGGAACGGCAAGTTTTTGGCGGTTCTCTCCTCCAGGTACCCTCGCTGGGTCTCAGGACCGTCAAGAAACGACTCAAGACGAAAACCCGGCCCTGAGGAAAATGGTCCAGACCTCGAGGGCTCACGCATCGCAGCAATTGGAGCGGCCGAATTTCTCGGGGGGAGGGAGGTGCTATCTGAAACCTCGCTATGAGGGACGAAGCGAGCGGAGGCAAGAGGACGAAGCGAGAGGAGGAAAGGAGGAGGAGGAGGAGGAGGAGAAGGAGGAGGAGGGAAAGGAGGGAAAGGATAAGTGCGGATAAGTGCGGGCCAAAACGGATCACGACCGCCTGCGCTTTCGTGCCGTGGGAGCGTCGGGCCGCTTCGGGCCGTCCCCGAGCCAGACCCTCAGCTCCAAGAGCCCCTACAGGGGCTGGTTTGTGGAAGGGTGCTGTCCATTCCACAACCGTGTCCGCCTACCCCCGATCACCCTTTGGGCCCCAGGGCTGCGTGGGGAGAATCGGCCCGCCCACCTGTCGCGGGCGTGCCCGGTGCACTTGCGGCAGAAGACATGAGTGCTACGGGTCACGATTTTGTGCCCCGCTCTCTGGCCCCTGTCGACCCTGGTGCACCCCCAGTCCAGAGCGGCCCGAGACGAGAGGAGAGCCACCAGGGGCGGGGCGGAGGGGTCGGGGGCCGCCAGGGCCCTGCCCCTCACGCTCACGACCGCCCCCAGGTCCCCAGGAAGGTCCAGGAGGACGGAGGGGGGGTCGGGGGGGTTCGAATCCGTCGGACTCGAGCCCTGCTCAGAGTCGACAATGTGACGGCCCAGGCTACCTACATAGGCTCCGAATTCCAGGATGTCCCGAGCCCGCCGATACTTCAGGCCGTGGGTTTCTCTACACCAGACTGGATGGGCATGGTACAGAGCTCCCTGCTTTGCATGGTCAGCTATTTTGTTGCCCTCCCACTGCGCGCAGCCGATTGCTGCTCGCTCGGCGCGCGTCGCGTGGGCCTTCAGCTCTTGCGCCTGCGCGGCGCGTGGGCCCAGGCCTCCGTACCCTGCGATGGCCTAGACGATGCACTCCCCGTGGTCGAGGTGCAGGTGGCTCCTCTTGTCGAGCCACGACGGTCCCGCCATCACGCCGTCGACGACGTTCTGGCTGTCGGTGCGGATGAAAATGGGCGGGGTGCCTGCCTGCGTCGCCTGCCGCCGCGCGTAGAACTCCACCCGCAAGATGCTCTGGGCCCTCGGCGCGCCCGTTCTGGGCCCGTAGCCCCCGTCATCCATGTCGTACTCGCCGTTGTCCTTGAGCTTGGTGAGGCTAATTCCTCCTCGTCTCAGTGGTGCGTAGTCGCCGAACTGCCTAGAGCCGCCCAGCTTGTATGTCGCTCCTCCCGCTCTGCGCACGGCTGCCACCCGTGCCTTCTTCTCTGCAAACTTCGGCGCCCGCTTGTTGATGGCGGCCACTCTACTCCGTCTGCATGCTGTTGCAGTCCCTCCCAGGTGCTTCTCGTGCTTGACTACTCTCGCGCCGAGGTGCCTGGTCCTCTTGTTGTTGCGATCTCTCCCCGCGGCGGAGGAGGCCAGGGTGACCGTCTTCGCCTCCGTGCCGCTTGAGACCGCCATGTCCAGGGTCGTCTCGAGCCTAGAGCTCACGGCCGCGATGGGCTGCGGGCGGTCCTCGCCGACGTGCTCGTGCCTGCCGTGCGTGACCGCGGCGCGGTCCTCGACGTAGAGGCGCGCGTTCACCCAGGAAACCTGGTACGCCAGCCTGTCCAGCTCGAGGATGATGAGCATCTTGCGACCGAGCGGTATGTGCCAGCTGTCCGCCTCGATGCCCCGCTGCCCAGCCCTGCCCTCGGCGTAGCCCCCGTCCAGGACGCTGTGCCGCCCTATGCTGCACATCTTGCGGTCCGCCCGCATGGTGCTTGGGTTGGCGCCCCATCGCTGCGACGCCTCCCGTGCCTTCCGCTGAGTAACCCACTCGAAGCACTTGATCAGACCGAAGTAGGCCCCCTCGTGGTGGTGCCCGTCGGCCCGCGCGGCCTCGCAGTAGACGGCCTGTGGCCGTGCCGCGCGTTCCCACGATCTCCCTCGGCGCGCCCAGTCATGGGCTCACTTGTTGGCCGCCCCCCCAACGCCTCGCGTAGGGCATGCGGTTGGTCTCCCACATGAGCTCGGCCACGCTGTCCACGTAGCGCAGGCCTCTCTGAGTGCTGTGCTCGGCGTCGATCCAGGCGGCTGTGATCGCCACCCTGCCCCAATCGATGTCCGTGCGTCGCCCCCGCCCCGTCGGTCGGCGGCGCTCTCTCGCCGCTTCCGCCCCGACCAACGGGCAGTCCTGCGAAGCCGTGCGGCCGAGGACAGCGGGGGTCCGCCGAGGAGTATTATCTGGGAGGCTCGTGTTGCCCCCCTCGACTCGGCTTCCTGCGTGGCTTAACTCGTCCAGGTTGGCGGAGTTCTCCTGCTCGCCCATGGCGTCTACGTTGCCCTCCTCCTGATTTGGCACCGCGCGCCATGCTAGGTAGTCCCGCTCGAGGAGCGGCTCGATGATGTCCTTCCCAAGGATGCCCTTGGCGTTGTTCTGGGCGCAAGCCAGGTGGCCCTTGCCCTCTTGCCCGTCCTGGCCGACGTAGTTGAGGTACTTGCTCGAGTGCTCCTCGTACGTGTTGCCCATGATGAAGTGGTCGCGGCACCGTGCCTCCCAAAATGTGACGCACGAGCCGCGCGAAGTGTCGAACACGATGACCCCTTCCATCCTGTTGATCACCCCTATGTGCTGTAGCTCTGCTGGGTCCATGTCGACGTCACCGCCCTGGATCCAATACTTCCCCGCCCCTGCGGCGGCCGCGGTGAAACTCCGCGGAATGCCCTCGCTGTCCCAGAGGTAAGCCGTGCCCGCGGGGGCGCCCTCCTTGCCGATAGCCTGCGTCCTGCCCTTCGCACGGCGGCCCTTGGACTCGCGGGGCGCGTCGCCCCTCGTGTCTGGCCCCCTGACGTAGCTCATGTTGTTTGGCCGCACGGTCGCCAGGAGCACCTGTGCTCTCCAGCCTCCCCGCGCGGTGCGGACGCTCGGCACGGTGCCCAGCCTCCAGCCCTCCTTCTGCATCCGTTGGTTGACGCAGGAGATGCTGTGCTCGTTGGCCTGCAGCTCCTTCGCCATGACTGTGCGATACTTGCGCGTGTACCGGGTGGCCCGCATGGTGCGCTCCAGCGCGCCAGTAGGGTTCGCGATGATTGTGCAGAACCCCTGCCCTCGCTCTTTGTCAGGATGACGGCGGGGCCGTCCACGTACTCTTGCCGATGGTGAGCGAGGTGTCTGGCTGCGTGCCAGCCAGCAGAGGAAGAAGATGAGGCCTGTGGCGCTCGATCTGCTCGGCCGCACAGCCCGCCTCGTGCGTGATCTTTGTGATCTGCGCCGCGTCGGCGTTCTGGGGGAACGAGACCAACTCCTGCTTGATCTCCTCCTCGGCTCTGCGCTTGTTCCTCTGCTGCTTGTCCTGGGCGGCCTCGCGGGCTGCGTCGGCCTCCCTCTTGGCGGCTGCTGCCGCTGCTGCCGCGGCAGCCCGCTCCTCCTCGACGGTGTGCTGCTGCTGCGCGTGCTTGAGGGCTTCGGCGATCTTGGTGTCCGTCTCCTGCTCGCGCAGGCACTTCTTCGCTTGTTCCAAGAAGGACACGGCCGCTCCCCAGCCCTTGCCTGCCTTGGGCACGCTGAGCTCCTCGATGCGGGCGCTCTGCTTTTGCAGCTTCTCATCTTGTCTGGCCAAGAGTGCTTTCTCGTTCTCGAGCTTCTCTTGGGCCTCCTTGATTTCCTCCTCCAGCTTCTCGACGCGCTCCTGGGTGCGCTCCTGCTGTGCCTGCGTTTTGTTCCTTTCTCGTACGAGCTTACACTCCGAGAAACAACGAGGGATGTCGCTGCCGTTGTCGACAGCTGCCTGCAACTCATCAACCTCCTTCTGTACGATGTCGATGTTGCCCTGGACGTGCTTTGCCAAGTCTGGGTCCCCCGCATGTTTTCGAAGTTCTGCCAGGTGCACCCGTAACTTCTTGAGCTTAGCTTTGGTGGCATCGTCGGCATCAGCATCATCCTGGGTGCTGGTCGCACCGTGGTTCGTGGTCTTCGCGGAGTCTCGAACCTTCCAGCACTTTCAGCAGAAGTCGTAGCCTGCCCCATTCCGAGCTTTGCAACCGCTGCAAGCCCAGCCTCCATCCCGCGACTTGGATCGTGGGGCCATAAATCAGCTCGAGAGCGCAGTGCCACTTTGAAGTTGGCGCTCTCCAACACCGTCCCGCCTCTCTGCAGGCGCAAAGGCGGCTCGGCGCAAAATGGCTAAGGAGGGGAAGGAGGAGAAGGAGGAGGAGGGAAAGGAGGGAAAGGAGGAGGAGGAGGAGAAGGAGGAGGAGGCCGCGAAGCGAGAGGAGGCAAGGAGGGGCTCCTCCTGTTCCGCCTGTTCCTGCCCCCATCCTCCCCCTCCTCCGCCACCTCCTCCTCACTTCCTCATACTGCTCCCTCCTCGTCCTGACTGTTCCTCTCTCCTTTCTCCTCGTCTCCTCCGTCTCCCCCTCCTCAAAGAGGAGGAAGGCGTGGGGAAAGCAACCTAATGTTCAGCCAAACAACGCAGATACCACGCAATTCGCATCGACACGGGGCGACGCACAACAACGTGAGGTAACACGAAGGATGCTCCGCCAGTCTAGCCGTTTGGTGGCTATGGGGCCCCTCCCGCAAGGCCTTCGCCCTTGGAGTCCACACGCACACACACCCACACACAGAGACACACACATGTATATATATATATATATATATATATATATATACACATGCACACGCGCACACACACACACACACACGCACACGCGCACACGCACACATGCGCACACGCACACCCGCACACACACACTCACACACACACACACACACGCACGCACACACACACACACCCACACACTCCCCACACACACGCACACACAGACACACACACAGATAGACAGACAGACAGACAGACAGACAGACAGACAGACAGACAGACAGACAGACAGACAGACAGACAGACAGACAGACAGACAGACAGACACACACAGACACACAGACACACACACACACACACAAACACCCACACACACACATGCTGTGATGTGCGGTGTTGTGCTGTGTCGTACTGTGGTGTGTCGTGATGTGCTGCGTTGTGCTGCGATGTGCTGCGATGTGCTGCCGCACACGCACACACGCGGGCATGCTTTGCTGTGTTGCGCTGTGATGTGTAGCGGTGTGGCATGACCACCGGCACCGGACCCCGATTAGTCGTTCTCGTCGTCCTCTCCCTCCCCTCCCCGTCCCCTTTCCTCCGCCTCCCCTCTGCCCCTGCCTCCTGCCCTGCCTCGTCTTCCTCCCCCGTCACCGTCGTCGTCGTCGTCGTCGCCACCGTCGTCGTCGTCGTCATCATCGTCGTCGTCGCGTGGGGCGCCCCCCTTTCAGGTGTGATGGCACGGCTGTGGCCGGCGGGTTGAATCTCTTCGCGGTCCCCCTCGCCCTCCTCCCCTTTTGACACACGCACAAACACACACACACACACCTGTGGCTCAAACATGCTCTCTCACTCACCCACGTTCCCACGTGCTACCGTGAACCTGATGCGGAATCGCGCGGCGCAGGTGCGCCCCGTCACGCCACCCGGAACCGACTGACAGCCACCCACCGTCGCCGAGACAGCGCGCACACAGCACGAGCTGCATGCAGCGCTGGGCTTGCCGCACGGTGGTTGTCTGGCATCGCGCGTGTATGTGCATAGGCTGGGTCCACCAGTGCGGAGATGGGGCTGGTCCTGGCGGTTGGGTGCTTTCAAGAGCAACGTGCGGGGTGTGTATATCGGTGCTGGGTGGCTGCACTGCGGACCGTGCCCCACCCACGTCCGCCCCCGCCCGCATTCTGTGCCTTGGCACGCGGCTTAGGCTGAGAAGGTGAGAAGATACGGTGTCCCGCATTAGGCGGGGGAACGAACGAACACACACACAGACACACATCCACACACACGCGCACACACACATGCGCACACACACACACACACACACACACGCACACACGCACACGCACACATACACACATGCACATGCACACACACGCGCACACGCACACAGACACACACACACACACACACACACACGCACACGCACACACACATACATTCACGCAAACGTACACACATACCACAAGGCCCCTTCCGCAGGCTCCCGCTTACAAGGTCACGAGGCCCCGCCTGTAGGCGCCGCGCCCACGGGGACTGGCCGTTGACAGCAGAGGGGGTCCGGTCGTTCTCGGCCGGAAGTGGCCAGGGGGGGTCCGGTCGTTGTCGACAGAGGAGTCCAGCTCGCAGGGTCCCGCCCAGGGGACCGCAGCCTTGGCTGCCCTGGGCGCTGGCTGCCGCGCTGGCTGCCCCCTGGGCCCTGCCCCGCGCGAATGCGCCCGATGACCAAGAAGTCGCGGAACCTTGTCGACGCCGATCTTGGACATGGCCTGGTCGTCCCCGGCATTCGAGGGCTATCCACGAGTCGACGATGGCCAGGACGGAATGTGGCCACCAACGTTTCGGCGGTCGGTCTCGGTCGTGGCTTCGGCGGCGAGCCCGGGGGAGGAAGGCGGCGGGGCTCCTAAGAAGCCCTCTGGCCTTCTGAGAAGTCTCCTGCGCCTTCGGGGAAGGCTCAGCAAATCCCTCAGAAGGCCCCAGGCCCTCCGAGCCGTCCGAGAAGGCCCGCCCCCTCCCACTTCCCCCCCAGGATCGCCGCCGAGTCGTGGTCCTCGTTCTCTTAAAACAGGGCTAGGATCGGGATAAATCGCTCCAGAGCGTTCCAGAGCGCTCTCAGAGCGTTCCGGAACGCTCTGGAGCGGCCGCAGCGCCCAATACATCCTCCAAACCCGCCGATTCTCAGAGATTTCGAGTTATCCCGATCCGATTTTGACCCGATCTTCGCGTCGTTTTATCTCTCCCCCTCCGCATGGGAGCCCAGCCCGAGCTGCTCCGGGCAATGGCTGCCGCCGCGGTTAGACCGATGCGAGGGCCCCCGCCGCCCAGCAGGGAAGGGGGACTGGGATCTGCGCACCAGCCGGCCCTCTGGAAGCGTGCGGGGTCCACGAGCCGTCAGCATCGGGGGCAGCGCCGTGCTTCGCAATCGGCGAGCGTAACCAAATCCACGTGCTCGCTGTTTGGATCCCGGAACGCGGTCCCGTGGATACGAGATTGCATGGGCGTGTTCCGCGCGGGGAATCCGCAGGAGAACGCCCGGATCCGCCCAGGGGCCTAGCCCACGATGCCGCGGATGTGCATACGGATATGTTGTCCGCACACGAGTACTCATTGAAGCCTGGTGGATGCGTTTTCCAAGCGCCTTTTGTAGTAGGACGGTACAACATGAAGTCAGCACAACTTGCAGCGATCTACTCAGACCACGCTGTACGACTTTGCAGGAGGGAGGAAGCGAGAGGATATGAAGCAGGAGGCAGGAGGTGGTGACGATGACGGTGAGGTGGAAGTGGTTGAGAGAGCGGAACCAGAGGAGGTATGTGGTATGCAGTCGAGGGAGCAGGCGGAGGAAGGACGAAGGGGCGGGAGGAGCAGGGAGGAAGACGACGACGCGGACAGAGACAAACACGAGAGAGACACGACAAACGCGGACGAGAACGACGAAGTCGACTACGAGAACAATATCAAGGGTGAGGTTGGAGGGCGAGGATGGAGGCTGGAGAGGAGGGGTGAGTAGAGGACACGGGGTGAATGTCAAAGTCAGAACTCGGCAACTGGCGACGGTGCAGCCAGAACCTGGACAGGTGGCTGGACTCGATGTCGAAATCCATCTGCATCCACACTTGCTCAGCGAAATCCTCGCAAACGCCATGCGAATGAGCCGAGGGCCACGGACTCTCTGACTTCCATGTCTCCTCTCCTCTCCTCACCCATCCCTCCGTTTCCTTTGCCATCGCTTTCGCGCCCATCGCCACTAGCCTCCCTGATCCCGCACATCTCTGCCGTTTCTCCCCTCACTCACCCCGAATTGATCGGTTTGCAGTGAACCCCCAACCCCCCTCGTCATTGATCTGACGACGCGCCTGACAGTGGAATGTTAGAGTTATAGTCGCTTGTCTGGTGAGGGCCCTCGAAAACCCCCGCCCCTCAACTTTGCGCTCCGTCCCCCTTCTTGGCTTCGCCTCGACCCGGCGGGGGTGCATTTGCCATGCAAGGCCCCCACCGGGTGGCCCTGCCCATGACTTGGCAAACGGATGCCTTTGGTGAAGAGCTGACTGCCGTGGATGCCTGCACGGCCCTTTGGGGAGACGACGACTGCGCGCCGACACCCAAGCTGGGCCGCGCCAGCCCCAGAGGCCCCAGGATCGTTGCAAACGTCTGGCTGGCCTGGCCAGGATCAGCGCCTGCACTAGTCAAGCGCGCTCCACTACTCGCAAAGGTAACGATTCGCACGTGGCCTGGATCCGCCGCGCGGGATCTACGATCCACTGCATCGAAGCAGACATGTGTCTTCCGGACGTCTGCGAGTGGGCACCTGGCGAGGAGTTAGTGGAACGCGCTCGATGACACACCGAAGCCTGAGCCCAAGATCGGCCCCTGGCCAGGAGCGGTGCCTGTGGATGGCTGGCGCACGCCTGGCCAAGATCGGCGCATGACACCCTCCACGACCAAAGAGAGGAACCGACCCGTGACCCCACAACAGAACACTTAACGCGAACACATCGGTGCTAATGTCCCCTCCGGATCACTTGCACGGGCAGATCTTGTATCCGTTATTTGTTGTGATTCGTGGGTTCGCTGATCTCCGTCACACTTTTCTGGTGGCCTGCACTTGGCGTTGGTAGCTAGTGCGACTTTGCTGTGTTCGATATTTTGCTAACTCCAATTGCTAAGTGCTGTGACCTTATTCCCCAAACCGTGCTTGCACTTAGGGGCGTTCTTGCTTCTGGAAAAAGAGAGCCGGGTTTGGGGGTCGGTGTGGCGGCTATGTCGTCGCCGTCGCCGCCCAGTCGCCGCCCCGTCGTCTGGGCCCAGGGGTCGGTCTGGCGGCTACGTCATCGCCGTCGCTGCCCCGTCCCCGCCTCGTCAAGGCCCATCGTCTGTCCCTGGGGGTCGGCCTGGCAGCCATGGTGTCCCCGTCTCCGCCCCGTGGCCACCTCGTCGACACCACACGAGCTGCACCACATCACTTGCACAACATGCAGAAGAACATAGGCTCTCCCTGCCTGGCTATATCGCTCCCCCTGGGATCGGAGGTTGGGGGTGAGATTGCAAGGGAACGGAGACCCCCAACCGGGAAAAGCGTTTCGTTTCGTTCGTGTCGTGCGTGCGGGCGAGGCGAAGCTGCTTAGGCGCGCGAGAGGAATGAACCCGCCGCTGCTAGGGCGAAGTCAAGACGAATGATTCTCCCCCGCCCGCCCGTCCGGCGGTGGCTCGCGGTGTCCCGCAGTGTCCCGTGGTGTCCCGTGGTGTCCCGTGGTGTCCGCCGCTGCTAGGGTGAAATCAAGACAAAGGATTCTCCTCCGCCCGCCCGTCCGGCGGTGGCTCGCGGTGTCCCGCAGTGTCCTGTGGTGTCCCATGGTGTCCCGTGGTGTCCGCCGCTGCTAGGGTGAAATCAAGACAAAGGATTCTCCTCCGCCCGCCCGTCCGGCGGTGCCTCGCGGTGTCCTGTGGTGTCCCGTGGTGTCTCGTGGTGTCCGCCGTTGCTGGAGCGAAAACAAGACAAATGATTCTCCCCCGCCCGCCCGTCCGTCCGTCCGTCTGGCGGTGTCCCGCGGTGTCCCGCGGTGTCCCGTGGTGTCCCGTGGTGTCCCGTGGTGTCCCGTTGAGTGAGATCGGTAGTGAGCGTGATAGTGAGATTGATAGTAAGATCGATAATGAGATCGATACTGAGATCGATGTGGTACCCCGAGGTGTTCCGTGGTGTCCCGCGGTATCCCGAAAAGTGAGATCGATAGTGAGATCGACAAGTGTCCCCTGGTGTCCCGTGGTGTCCTATGGTGTCCCTTTGCATGAGATCGATAATGAGATCGATGGAGAGACCGATAGTGAGATCGAGAGGTGTCCCGCGGTGTCCCGTGGTGTCCCGTGGTGGTCAGTGGTGTCCCGTTGAGTGAGATCGATAGTGAGATCGATCGTGAGATCGACAAGGGTCCCGTGGTGTCCCGTGGTGTCCTGTGGTGTCCTGTGGTGTCCCGTTGAGTGAGATCGATAATGAAATCGAGTCAGCCAGATGTTGGTTCCCCCCCCTCTCCCCTCCCACAACCTCCTCATCACCCGAAGGGTGGTCGTATAGGTCGTACAGTATACATTTGATGTTACCCCATCGCTCGCTGTAAACATGAACCCATACAACACCACGCAAGCTGGTATCGACACACATCCCCTCATCCATAACATTACCACATGCCATCCAGCGTCATTCGCCCCGTTTTGCAAACATACATGACGAAATCCACATGCGCGCGGCGTCGCGCGTGCATGCCGAAATCCTTCAGAAACCATGGGCTTCGCATGGAATCGATGTCCCCGAAAACATCTGAGCCAATGGTTTCGCAACATGATTTCTGAAACAACATCTGTTCGCATTCCCGCGAAACCGTACGGAAACCATAAGTTATTCAACCTGTTTATCAAATGCGCCCAAGCGAGCCTCATGCGCGCGCGTGCCGAAACCATTCGAACACCTTTCCGCCACAGTTGGGGGCAGGATAACTGTCAAACAGCACCATGCGGACCACTCGCGCCCGTCGGCCACGCGCGCGTCGAAATCCGTGCGACACTCTCACACGCGGACACCTTCATCGTCATCGGCGTGATCATCATCGGCGCCATCATTGGCATCGCCGTCGTCATCGTCATTGCCACCAACGTCGCTACTATCTCATCGTGTCTGCCGTTTTCGACGTCGCCATGATACCGCGCCCGCACGCGTCACCGACTCGCACTGGCGTGCCCACGCGTCAGCGCGGCCTGCGAGACGTGCTGGGAGGTCCCCAGCGGTCAGCACCGCTGCGGCCGCGTCGGTCGCGCCAGACTGGTTGGCCGCTGCTGGCCGCTGTGCGCGCGAGCCTGCGCGCGCTAGCGCGGCCGCAGCGACGCGCCAGCCGGCGCCAGGCAGTCATCGCAATCGCCACTGCAGGGGTTTTGCAAACCAACTTGCGGGTGGGCGGGTGGGGTGATTGCGCGAGCAGCGGAGTTGACAATTCACTACGAACAAGCTGAATGGCGCAACATCGATTGCATCACATCTATTGCACAACGTATAATGCACAACATAGAGTGTAAAACATATGCTGCACCAGATAATGCGCCACAACAGTTGCACAACCTATGCTACACAATCTATGATGCACCACGTAGAAAGAACCTCATGTATGCAATATAGAAATAGGCAGCGGAAGGAGCGGAAACAAATAGTATTCCGCTCTACCCGTCCCATCCCATGGCAACCTCTGGGCGCCGAACACACACACATTATTCGATTGCTCTCTTCCCCTGTTTTAGGGGCTGCGCCAAATACACGTGGCACGCAAGGACGGTAAACCCTCAAGGGGGGTACGACCGAAGACGACGAGGGCGGGGATCGAGGGTTTGGGACACACGTGTTGAATGGCACGTGAGCAGGCAAGAGCGAACAATCTTAAAATGATTGTTGTTGTCGTCGTCGTCCTCGCCCGCGACCCCCACGCAACTCACCCCGCGGCCCACCCCGCGACACACTTGCGACACACCCACGTTGCGTTGACGAAAAATCGGCAATCGTTGTGCAGTCTATGTTTTCTGCTTTACGTACACAGAACGAGCGGCGCCTGCGGCGGGATTTCTCCGAGCCTCGCAGACTGCCGACGACCCCGCCGCCCCCTCACTGGCGAGGTGCTAACGTGTCAGTGATCTGCGCTCGTGCCCCGTCGGATGACCCACCCCCTCCCGCCGTCGCGGGCGGCGGTCCTCCGCGGCCTTGCCGATTCCGCTCCGCGGGAGGTGGTGGTCCGCCTCGCGCGGCGAGCGCGCCCTCGCCCCCACCCCCCACGCGGGGCGCTCGCCAGGGGGTCGGGCGGAGGGACTCGGGCACTGGCAGGACGGGGGTTCGTGGAGAGTGGCGCAACGATTCGTGCTCGGGGACGCCCTCGCTGCCCCGCTCCACTCGTCGGAACCTGCCTGGGGTATGCCTGGGGGGGCAGGTCTCGAGGGTCGGGGCGCAGGGCGCTCGGGAGGCGTGCCTCTTTCTTTTTGTTGATATGCAGTATTTTTCTGCAGTTGGCATCCGGTTTGTTTTCGGGTTGGGTTTGTTTGGGGGGGTGGACCATCACAAGGGCGCCAACCCGAAACAAAAGCCCTCTCAACCCGAAACAAAAAACGCAGCTCTGTGCAGTGTCTGCCTGGGGATCAGCTGGCCGCCATGGGCGACGCGCCAGCACCTCCAAAGGCTGCACCGACGGCCAGAAGACGAAGTTGGCAGAGGCTCCTGCCCGCAGCGCTGCGGAGAGGCCGGGGCCTGGCCCAGGGAGCATGCTCAATGAATGACACGAGCACGACGAGGACTTTGTGCGTCTCTCCCTCGGGCTCCAAGAGTGAGGCTTGAGGCTCAACACAGTCCCGCCCGAGTCTGGGCCGAGCATTGACTCGATCGGCCTGCCTGCCTGCCTGAAGACCACACACACACCTTGCTTTGGGGGGAAACCAGAAGGTACCGATACCGCTATTCCCCGGACCTCTCCTGGGGTGCGTTCTGGCCAGGATTTCGAGGCGAATCCAGCCGTGGCGACGACGGCCGCCCAGGAGGCCCTAAAAGGGGAAAAACGGGCGGGGGGGGGGGAAGAGGGATGGGTGCCTCTTCCTCCTCCGAGGCTGAGTGACCAGGCATCTTGTTTTGCCTTCGGGGCCCCAGCACTCGTCGGCCCCCCTTCTCCGCGAGGGGCCCCGGCTGTACCCGGGGGGCGAGCGGGCGAGCGCGCGGTGACGGCCTGGCGGGGTCGGCCCTGGGAGGGCGGCGCGGGGGGGGGGGCTGGGTGGCTCGAGGTCGACGCGGGGGTGACGTGGAGGAGTCGGATGCTGGGAGCTGGGCACGAGCTGGTGCAGGCTGGAGGTCGACAGAGGGAGGTGGAAGCTGAGTGTCGAACGCCAGAGGCTGGTTTTCGAAGCGCTGGGTGAGATCCTGGCGCTGGTCGAGAGAAGCGAAAGCGGCACAGAAAGCCCCCCTCCCTGATGCTGTGTCGTCTTCGCGGCGTCGGATCTCCGAGACTCTAGTGGAAGCCCCCTAGACAGGGTTCGGGTAGATGGGATCGGAGGATCGCGCCGCATCGATGACGCATCGACGACGCATCGGCGCTCCGACGGCGCGGAGAAAATCGGGCTCCACATCGAGCCGTATCACCAATGCATCCTCCGAACCAATGTACTCGGAGCCCACCTGGGAGGCCTGGATCCAGGACTCGGAGAGGCAAGAGCGCCAGAGCACTTTTGAACGGCTCTGCAACCCCGTGAGGGCCTCCGCCCTGCGTCGTTCGGGAGCGGCCAAGAGGGGGGTGTCCAAGAGGGGGGGTGCAAATCATGACCGGCGGCATGTGCGCGGCCCAGCGCGGGGGCCAGGGACGTAATGAAATAAGAAGAGGCGCCATGAAATCTGGGGAAATATCATGGCCCCCGCCATGATATCCACCCCCCCCTAGTCATCACCCCCCTCTTTTCCGCCCCCGAGCCCTGCGTCCTGGAGAAACCAGGGCGGAGCCCGGAACGATGCTTGGCGGGGCTCGGCCTCGGCGGGCCCTCTCCGGGCCGCAGGACCGCTGGCAGCCGACTCGGCTACGAGGACGGCGCCCATGCAACGTGCCATGATCCGAACACCGTTCCGGCCTGGCCCAACGCGGGAGGAGGAGGAGGAGGAGGAGGAGGAGGAGGAGGAGGAGGAGGAGGAGGAGGGAGGAGGAGGAGGAGGAGGAGGAGCAGGAGGAGGAGGAGGAGGAAGAGGAGGAGGAGCAGGAGGAGGAAGAGGAGGAGGGAGGAGAAGGAGGGTACGGTGCCCAATATGTCCTCGGCTCCGAGGGCCGACAGAAAACTGTGCACCGCACCGTTCCCGGGTCCAGTATCGGCGTCGCCTCGGGAGACGCCAACGCGGTGCGGTGCACACGAGCCGTCCGCGGATCAGGACAGAGAAAGCCAGCGTGGTCCCCTGGAAGAGGTCGAGACCCCTGGGCAGAGGCCTCGAGAAGCCAGGACGTCGGGGTTCTGCGCAGAGGCCTCCCCAAAAGGGATCCGAGCAGATGGCGTCGGGGGATCGCGCCGCATCGGCGATGCATCGGCGATGCACTGGCGATGCATCGGCGACGTCGGCGTACAGAAAATCGAACTCCACATTGAGCCGGATCGCCGGTGCATCGACGATGCGGCAAGATCCTCCGACTCCATCCACTCGGACCCCATTCGAACGACAAACAAGAATGGGTCTCACGTGAGATGATATAGCGACCTTACGCCTCGGCCTGCGCGCCGCCAGCGCGGCGGGCAATTTACGCGACAATGTCGGCGCAAACGAACTGTTGTTTGGGGGCGCCCGAAATAGGTACGGAAAGCAACAGTACAATGCCCAACAACAAATGTTGACCAAAACCGACAGCGGCCGCCGTTGGGCAGGCGGCTTTCTGTCTTCAGTGAACAACGTCCGCGGCGGCGCGGACAGCAAGTCTTGATCAATATGAACATGAACTGCTGTTGGGAATCGTGCCCATTATTTCCGATCCCTTTTCGATCATCCCGAGCTTTTTGGCGTCGTTCCCTTGGGAGGCCTCGACTTAAGTCGGGCCTGTCCCCCTACAGGGGCATTTTCGACGAAAAATAAGAAATACCCCAAAGATAGTCAAACAAATTATCCAACAATAATTTGGGGACTATTTTATTGTTTTGCCTTTTTGCGGAATGGCGGAGCCCCTGGATTCCTGTTCTTGAGCCAAGCGGCTTCGGTAACAACAATCTCAGCTCGAAACTGGTGAAACCCTGCAGCCCTCCTCGAGGCCGCTGCGCACGCTGGCGGGCTCGTCAGCCCACCATCTCAAATTACATCAGTAATTGCAACAGTGCTAGCCGAAACCCGTTCGGTTCCGTCTCGTGTAAAGAAACAGCCATGGCAAAGGAAACCTTCATTCACGTGATATCGGCCTCTATCTCGTTCTTTCTCTCTCTCTCTCTCTCGCGCGATACGACCTCGGGAGGTGATCAATCTCCGTCGTATATCTTCTGAACAAGCCAGCATTGCTCAACACAGACGGTATCTCGTACTGGTTGTCCAGGGTGCGTGCATTCACTGAAACCCAGATCCCCAATCTTGAGTACCCAAAAGCGTATGCCGACCATCAGCCTCATAATGTAGCTTGCTCCTGCTCTTGTAGGTCACTGGCCCTTGGACCTCAACTGACCTCATCTTCTTGAACTGCACCTCTGTCTCTGGCGAGGCATCTCTCCTGCGTCGCCTCGACGGCGATCGTTCATCTGACCCTGACCTCGGGTCCTGAAGGTTACACCTCGGGTCCTGAAGGAACCCGCAACCCTCTTCGTTTCGTACATGTCGAAATGGCGTGGGCCACAACCCAAAGGCACCTCGTGTCTCTAAAGATTGACCCACAACCCTGTCCTGCTTCGCCTTTACCACAAACACGTAGGATCTGAAAACCACTGCCACAATCGTAACCACCAAGTGCGAAACGAAACTTCACCAGTTGAACTCGCTCTTCATGTTCACATTGATTCTGAAACCATCCTCGTAGTAGTAGTCGTTTGTCGCCTCTGCTCCCGAAATGACCGCCATTACCGCCGAAACCTTCGTGAGCACCTCTGGGTCCTTGAAACTCGTCGCCTTGATTGAAATCAAACCCAGCGTCTTCATGCGTCTCCTGAGCGCGTCCTTGTCCATCGGCTTCGTTCCTATGTCCGCCACCCGGTCCTTCGCATTGACCTTCGCCACCTCCATGTCTCCGTCTCGTACCAGATCTTGATGCCGGATCCTTCAACAACTCCTCGCCTGCGTACGCGTCTCTGTAGACGCCGTCACCCGCCAGCTTGTCGTAGTTCACCCTCGGCTCCAACTCCTCGCAGACGTGGCGGTCCTCATCCTTCGTGATCGACATGGCGATGCCTATCTCCATCGCCTTTTCCCGTCCTGGCGTAGTAGGTGCCACATCTCCTCCAGCTACGATCGCGTTACCCGTCATCTCCGCGTCCTGCTCGATCTGTAGCTCCCGTCCGAAGTGATGACCAACCGGTATACCTGGAGCTCGCTGACCTGCTTCTTCAAATCGTGGTTCTGCTACTCTAGCATTTTCTGGTGGTGGCTGTGCTGCTGGAACTGCCGCTGGTGCTGCTGCAGGTTGCGCTTGTCCTGGTTGATCTCCTGATGCCATCTCGATCCTCGGCTCGGCCTCCTCGAAGATCTTGGCGAACCTCGTCCTGCACCTCGCGTTGTGTATTGATGAGTTCCCTTCGCATGCTGCACGCCCATCGGTAGGTCCATGCTCCTCGATCAGCGCCTTCGCGATGTACTTCCGGTTCCTGGCCACCTCATTCTGACCCTTCACCTCCAAGCCCCTGGGATTCCACGGCACTCCTATGAACGCGTTGTAGACCTCCTGGTTGTACTTGTCCTCCGTGGCCCTGAGCTTCATCGCCCTGGCGTGCTCGATCCCTCTCGGCGTACCTACGATGATTTCGTCGCTCTCGTCGCGCCTGCCCAAGAAGATACATTCGCCCCACCTCGGTTCCACCTTGGAGTAGTCCTGAGCCTGTATATTGTAGTCGATCGTCTCTCCGATCTTCCTGGGCTCCGACTTGAACTTCGCACGTCACAGTCGTTCGCAAGCTGTCCTGCCATCCGTCTTGATAGCGAACCTGGTGAAAAGTACCCCACGTGCCTAATCAACCACGGCATGATCAAATTCTTGGGTCCAATCTTCACCTCCAACTTCACCTCCAGCTCGCTGTGTAGTGTATATAGTAACGACTCCACTCTCTCCACCGCGTTCTCAATCGCACCGTTGCTCTGATGAGAACCTTTCGGAGCCTTCTCCACCTGCGTGCTGTGCTTCCTCCTGTTCTTCACCGCCGTGATCACCGCTTGTAGCGATGGCTCCTGGTCGCCCTTCAGGATGATATCCGCTGCTCCCCAAACTTCCAAGTAGAACTCCACCGCTGAGTTGACGTACTCGCTGGGCCCCTTGTGGATCACCATGATGGAAGCAACTGCATCCTCAGGCTTCTGCACCATCACCAGGACGTTGACCATCTCCGTCTCCAGCTCGGTGTTCACGAAGCAGTAGTCCATGCCAATGACTGGAATCGTCGGCGCCTCCTCTGGGTTAGCCTTCTTGTGACCATCTTACTTGCCTCGGCCCCAAAGACACCACTTGCACCAGTCCCGATGCGGCAAGTGCGTCTTCTCGTGGATGGCTATCTCCTCCGCTGTGGGCATGCACCTCTCCTTCTTGACCTTCGGCGGTCGCGCCTCGTCTGTCTCGATCTCCTCCTCCTGCTCCGCCGGCTGCTGAGCTTGTTCAGGTTCATCGCCTTCTAGAGGGCAGAGCGTGCTCGCGTCCACGTCGAAGCTGTAGATCCCACGCCTCTTCGAGATCCTCAGTGGTCTGTTCATCTGGTTGTTCGCGTTCTCGTGCTCGATCATCTCCTTGATCCGCTGGCTGACCTTCGGATTGACCACTGCTCCACCGCCTTCGTCGAACCATGCACCTTGAGCTCCCTTCGTCAGGTCGCTAACTGCAATGATCGTCTTGTGAACATCTTGTACATCGAACTGTCCTCGAATTGGTTGTCGAGTCCCAGCCACCTGCACGTGTGCTGTCTTGCAGCCGTTCGCGTAGATCTTAGTACCATCTGCCTGTCGTAGTGGCGGCGCGTCCGCTTCTTCTCGCGGCATTCTTGGTGCGGAACCAGGTGGGCCAACACTCCGTGCCGCACATGATACAAGCCTCACCTCGATCTCACCGTCGAAGTCATTCTCGAACTCTATCGGAATCAGGCAACTCTCGTCGTTCTCGTTGAACTTGTGATTGGGCTCCTTCTTGCGATCTAGACTCACAGTGTCTCCATCTACCTCCGCGTGATCTAAACCCGAAATGCATCTAGCTCATCAGCCTCGTTCTCATTCAGCATGAAGATGTAGCCCTCCTCGGCGTCGTAATCGTAACCTAAGTACTTCATGTCTTGATCCTTGGGCTTGTCGGGCGCAGGTGTGTTCTTCGTCTTGTCGCTCTTGCCCTTGCCCTTGCCCTTGCCCTTGCTGATCTTTCGCAAATCCTCCTTCGTAATCTTTCCGTCCTTCATGTCCTGCGTGGCCTTCCTGCTCTCCATGAGCCTGTGACATTTCTTGCCGCAATACTTGCCAGGCTGCGTCGCGCTCTGGTCGTAGCCATTGCCCTTGTTCTTGTCCTTGCCGTACCTGTCTTTCGAGTCCTTGCCGATCTTGCCGAACGCGAGCGCATCCAGATCCCTAGGCGCAGGACCACTTAGTGCCATCGCCGCCTGCTTCGACCTCAAGTAATTCAACACCTCAGCTCGTGCCAACGCGTATGTCGTGAACCTCGTCGCATTCAGCAATGAGATGCTCTCGAAGCTTTGACGGCACCAGTCGCGCACTGAGAACAGACTTCTTGATCGACTCCATGACCTTCTCGCCTGTCTGCTCTTCGTATCTCTGAACCAACGCCCCCCAAGACACGATGCCCTTGATCGGAACGTTCTCCTGCACATTCGGAAACAGTATCGAGTCCAGCATACCTGAGAACCTCGACGGCACCTTCGGCTCGAACTCCAAACACAGCAGTCGCCAGGCCTCCAAGCCTTCTCCTGAGGGAACGCTCTCCACGATGCCCTGAGCCTTGTCCTTACACGTCAGTACAAGGATGTAGTACAGGTTGGTGTTGACTCGCTGGGCCTCTTCGTCTAGATCTTCGCGTGCGAAAGCCTCCGCGTCGACCTTCGCAGCGTCCCGCATCAACTCCGCCATGCGAGGGTCCACCGCCATGTAGTAGGCCGCCAGAACGAAACTCCAGTTCTCCCACGTGACGCCGTCCTTGTACTTCGAATTCTCATCGAGCTGACCTGGGAACTGATCTGGCTTTCCGAGCAGCTTCGTGTCGACGAGTGACTCCGCTCTCTGTTGATATGGTCAGTCGTCTGCTGCTCCTTCTGCTGCTGCTCGCTGATTCGCATCTCGAAGTTGTTGTTCCAACCTCGCTATCTGATCTCTCTGCTGAACCACGACACCTTCCATGGCCACGATCCTATTCAGAACCTCCTCCGCTGTTGCCATCGCTGCGCGAGAAACGAGAAACTGGGAGCCTGGCCGTGGGCATTCGACCAGGCTCCGCTACCATGCGGAATGGCGGAGCCCCTGGATTCCTTTTCTTGAGCCAAGCGGTTTCGGTAACAACAATCTCAGCTCGAAACCGGTGAAACCCTGCACTTTTTGGTGTATTTTTGTTGGGGTATTTTTGATTTTTCGTCGAAAATCCCCCTGTATGGGGGACACGCCCGACAGAAGCCTCGACTGGGAGACCGAGCAGTGCACGCCTGGCCCCGCGAACGGCCGGCGCCACCCGTGCGGGCCCACGCCCGGCGGGAGCCCTCTTGCGGGGCGGGGCCGTGACCCCCCCCGCGGCCGAGGCAGGGCGGACGAGAGCGGCGGAGGCGGGAAAAGGGCAGGAGCATGCGGTTGCGGGCCCCAAGAATAGACCACCACCGCGACAACCACCACCACCACCACCGCCTCCATTTATCCTCCCTCCTCTGTCCTCCTCTCTTCCTTGCATTCCCTGGGAGAGGGAGGGGGGGGGTGAGGAAGGTGGTGGTGGTGGTGGTGTATATTTCTTCTAGGCCCCGTGGCAGGAGCAGGGGAGCGACGAAAGGAGAGGGGTCCTGCGCGAGATGGCACGGCGACCGTGAGCCGCGGCTTGCGCGGGCCGCCGGCGCGACACAGCACATCGGAGGCGAGGGGGCACTTGAGCACGCGCGACCTCACGGGAGAGCGCAGGCGGCCCCGTTTCTCCCTGCGTCGCTCGGGGGCGGGGCGCGGGGGCGGGGGCGGAAGGGGGACCGGGTGGGGGCAAGAGCACCGCGAGGCGGGATCGCGCGAGAACGGCGGGAGCGTGCGGGAGCGGGCATGGGCGGGCGGGAGCGGGGGAGGCAGAGGCAAGGGCGGGTGGGAGGTGGGGCTGCGAGCAGCACGAGGGCTGCTCGAGTGCACCACTGACCAGCTCAGCGAGGTGCCCATCTCCCAGGTCGGGGGAAACCTCCGCGGCCTTGCCTGTGGTATTCGTGGCCCCCCGTCCCGGCGAGCTCTCAGCGAGCGCCCCCGCGGCCCTCTCCGCGCGGCGACGCCCCTGCCGAGCGACCCGACCTTCCCTCTCGTGTGCGCCGTGCGCCTGCAACTGGCAGCCGCAGGACCAACCAGGCCAAAGCCTCGCTGCTCCCTCTTCCCTCTTCCTGGTCCTCGAGGGGCGGGGGGGGGAGCAGGAGGAGCAGGAGGAGGCGAAGGAAGAGGAGGCGGAGGAGGAGGATGTGGAGGAGGAGGAGGAGGAGGAGGAGGAGGAGGAGGAGGAGGAGGACGAGGAGGAGGAGGAGGAGGAGGAGGAGGACGAGGAGGAGGAGGAGCGATGCCGACCAGCGAGCCTCCTCTATCGGCGCGGTCCCGCTGCACTTGCGGGCCCGAGGCGACGGGCGAGGTGGAGCGGGAGGGGCAGCGGCAGCGGGCGCCGCAGCAGCTGCCGCGGCACGAGCACTTGGCAGCAGCAGCTCCCGGCCGAGGAGGCCTCCTCGGGCCTTCCCCGAGCTTCTCCCAGAGCTCCTTGGCGGAGGTCCGCGCGCGAGGCCGACATGGCACCACCCCGGACCTCTGCCAACATGTACTGTTGTTGCTGTTTTCCACCCGCCCGTGGCGCCAGAGGTCTCGGCCGCATCCATGGGGGTAGCTCTTTTTCCTTCCTTTCCCAAAAGGCCCACGCAAAGTGCGCACCTACCCGCCACTGACCACATGGAGAAATGATGGCTTAAAAAGCAAAACTCTGCTGCCAAAGCTTCGGCTAGGAACGCGGAGTTCAAGATGCCAAGAACTTGCCCTGCCTGGGGTAATTAGCTCTTCGCCCCCCCATCCGTGCTTCGAGGTCCCGGGGCTTCGGAATCGGCCCCAGAGCCGAGGTCGAGGAAGAACAACGTACAGGATTGACAGAAATCAGATCGTCGACGACGACGTCTACGACGACGTCGACGACGACGTTGACGATGACCACGACGACGACGACGATCGGATCGGCAACCGGCGGCGGCAGCAGCGGGAGCGCGGCGGGGCGCGCGGGCCCAGCGGCTGGCCATCAGCAGCCAGCGGAGGTCCCCCTCGAGCAGGGTCCGGATGCCCGGGCGGAGGCACTTCACCGCCACCTGAGCGAAGTGGCTCAGAAGCACACACATACATATACACCAATCCCAGGATTCCCAATATTCTGTCGTGTTTCCCTGATTTTCGTCTTCCCCCCGCTTCCCATTTTCCTGGCTGGGATCGGCGATCATGTGTCTGTGTGCCTGCGTGTGTTCCCCCCCCCCCCCCCCTCCCCGACTGAGCGACGAGAAGAAACGGGTCTCACGCGGGAAGACATATCGGGAGCGGCCAAGAGGGGGGTGTCCAAGAGGGGGGGTGCAAACCATGACCGGCGGCATGTGCGCGGCCCAGCGGGGGGGCCTGGGACGCAGTGAAATTAGAAGAGGCGCCATAAAATCTGGGGAAATATCACGGCCCCTGCCATGATATCCAACCCCCCCTAGTTATCACCCCCCTCTTCTCCGCCCCCGAACAGAGCAACCTCGCGCGGCGGCTCATGCGGGCCGCCCGCGCGGCACGCCGCGTGGAGGAGGGGGCGCTTGCAAGCGGCCTCTCGCGCCGGAAGCCTGCGCGCGAAGGTCGGCGCAGGCGACCCCCGCGTCCGTCCGTCGCTCGCCCGCGGAGGCGCCCGCGCGGTCCCGGAGAGAGCGGGCGGTCGGGAACGAGACGCCCGGCCCCGCTCGCATCGTGAAGGCACGACGACGGACGGCTGTTCGTCATTCTCTGCCTCTGGGAGCCCTCGCCAGCCCCTGGGACCGTCCAAAAGGCAACGCAGGATGGAAGGCCAGCCCCGGGAAGAGGTCGAGACCTCTGGCCAAGGGCGTCCAAGAGGGGAGCGTCACAGAGGGGGATTCGCACATCATGGCCCGAGGCAGGTATGCGGGCGAGTGGGGAATGGGGCCAGGGGCCGCATTAAAAGAATAATAAGAAGAATAATAATAATAGTTATAACGATATGATTAATGATACTAATAATAGTAATAGCCGGAACAATAAGAAGAAGGAGAAAAAGAAAAAGACGAAAGGGTGACCATGAAGCATGTGAAGATATCATGGCCCCCGCCATGATGTCCACGCACCCTTAGGCCTCGCCCCCCTCTCGGCCGCCCCCGAACAACAATAACAACTCGGGAGGAAAGGCCAGGCCCTGAGCAGAGTCCAGACCTCTGGGGGCCGCGTCATGACAAACAAAAAACACGACGTCGGGGGTCTAAGGGGTGGGGCGGGGGGGGGCGGGGGCGCGACCCGGGAGTCCACGTCTGCTCACTATCTCTGGCCGTGCCCGCGCACGCCCTGGCTTGCGGCAGTCGTGGCCTGCTCGTGGAAGTTGCGGCCCGCGTGCTGTGGTTACGAGCGCTGTGCTTACATACGACGTGCCCGAAATACTGAATGGTAGCCAAGAGCATATCTCGAAGGGGGATAACTGGGAATAGTGAAGGAGGGGAGCAAGGAGGAGGGAGGAGGGAGCCGTGCCATCAATCCATCAATCCACGCCTCCCTCTCCCTATATACATCTCGCCCTCATTCCCTCCTGTCCCCCGTCCCTTCCACAACCCTCCCCCCTCCCTTCTTACCTCGACCATTCCCTCACACTTCATCACATCCTGATCTCTGAAACCGTGTTTTTTAGAGCCCTCCTCCTCAGTCGGCCATCTTCCCCTTCTACCCTCTTCGTTACTCGTCCCTGATGTGTGCATCATCAGACCCATGTCCCCTCAACTGGTCGTGGACTCCCCTCCCCCGCCTCCCTGGCCCCCCCTTCTCACCATCCCCACTTCCCTCCCCACGTGTTCGCATCATTCCCTTCTTCCTCCCTCCTTGTACCATCATTAGCGTCCACTCCGCCGCCTACCCTGGGTGTCGTCGCTGCGTCACCCCTCTCTCGATGTCCTCTTTCCTTCCTGGTCCACCACGCCCTCTCACCTCCCACCACCAACTCCCGAACTTAACTCCCCATCCTTACTTTCCTTCCCCGTCCCTTCTCCGTCCGCCTACGCCATCCCCTTTTCTTACTCCCCCTCCCACTCGGCTTATCACTCCCCCTGTAACCATCCACCATCCACAATGTCCTCCTCCTCCTCCTCCTCCTCCTCATCCTCCTCCTCTTCCCCAATCCACCTGCCCGCTGGTCATCGTGACAAGCTGGCCCAATCTTGACTCATCCGCCTCCTTCTACCTCCCCCCGCTCATCATCCGCCTGTTACGATCCCCCCTCCTCCTCCTCCTCCTCCTCCTCCTCCTCCTCCTCCTCCTCCTCCTCCTCCGCCACCGCCAGAGCCAGCGCCAACGCCAGCGCCAGCGACACAGCCAGCGCCAGCGCCAGCGCCTCCGCCCCCGCCTCCGCCTCCGCCTTCGCAACCTCCTGGTCCTCCTCCTCTTCTTCCTCCTTCTCCTTCCCTTCTTCGTATTACTAGTATACGTATTACTAATAAGTGTAAGGCTAGTCGCTGTTTGATAGTGTTAGCATTCGTCTTCTTAGTACGACAAGAATCCCACCAGCCCTTTGGGCGTGAGTGGTTTAGCGAGCTTTCTCTGTCCTCAACCCCCCAACCCCCCTTCTTCCCCTTCGGGGAGGGGTTTACCCCTCCCCCTACCCCCTCCCCCTGGGCCTGGAGAGGGAGTCCGGCGGGTGGTCAGGGCGGTCTTTTTCGACTCCTGGGAGGGCCAAAAAACGACGACACTCACGAGGATTCTGGCCCCGACGGGGGGACGCTCTTAAGTCCCCCCCTCCGCTGTGAAGCCAACATCATTGATTTTACTACGGTTTCGGCACCATTTTGGCCTTCTGAGGGGGCAGCGCTCTTCTTCCTTATTCTCAAAATCGTTGATTTTACGAAGGTTTTGGGCTCATTTTGTCCTTCTCAGGGGGTAGCGTTCATTTGCGCTTCTGCGGAGGTCGCAAGAGGCCCCCAAGAGGCTCCAAGATGCCCCCAGGAGGCCTCCAGGAGGCCTGCAAGAGGCCCCCAAGAGGCCCCCCAGAGGCCCAAGAGCCCCCAAGAGGCCCCCAAGAGGCCCCCAAGAGGCCCCCAAGAGGCCCCCAAGAGGCCCCCTAGAGGCCCCAAGAGGCCCCCAAGAGGCCCCCAAGACGCCCCACGAGGAGCTCGAACGACTCACATCAGGACGAGGGGCCCGAACGACTCACACCACGAAGAGCCCGAACGACTCACACCACAAGGAGGAGCCCGAACGACTCATACCAGGACGAGGCGCCCGACCCATTCACACCACGAGGAGCCCGAACGACTCACACCACGACGCGGGCCTCGAACGACTCACACCACGAGGAGCCCGAACCAGGAGGAGGGGCCCGACGACTCACACCAGGATGAGGGGCCCGAACAACTCACACCACGAGAAGCCCGAACGACTCACACCAGGACGAAGAGCCCGAACGACTCACACCACGAAGAGCCCGAACGACTCACACCAGGAAGAAGGGCCCGAACGACTCACACCAGGACGAGAAACCCCAAACGACTCAAATCACGAGGAGCGCTTTCTCTCCCTCCTCCTCCGCCTCGTCCTTCTCCCGCTCCCCCCACAAGGAGGATGTACAAGGAGGCGGGAGGAAGGAAGAACAGGGGAGATGTGCGGGGCCAAACGGACACACGCCTGAAAAACACGACTGTCGGCATGCGTCGTATGAATTGCTGTTGTGAGATGGGCTGGTGGGGATACGCGAAGCGTAAAGAATTAAACGTATTAACACCAAAAGTACCAGTCTTATTAGTTAGTAGTAGTAGCAGTAGTAGTAGTAGTAGTAAGTAGTAGTAAGTCGTAGTAGTAGTCGTAGTAGTCGTAGTAGTAGTAGTAGTAGTAGTAGTAGTAGTAGTAGTAGTAGTAGTAGTAGTAGTAGTAGTAGTAGTAGTAGTAGTAGTAGTAGTATTAGTTAGTAGTAGTAGTAGTAGTAGTAGTAGTAGTAGTAGTAGTAGTAGTAGTAGTAGTAGTAGTAGTAGTAGTAGTAGTAGTAGTAGTAGTAGTAGTAGTAGTAGTAGTAGTAGTAGTAGTAGTAGTAGTAGTAGTCGTAGTAGTAGTAGTAGTAGTAGTAGTAGTAGTAGTAGTAGTAGTAGTAGTAGTAGTAGTAGTAGTAGTAGTAGTAGTAGTAGTAGTTAGTAGTAGTAGTAGTAGTAGTAGTAGTAGTAGTAGTAGTAGTAGTAGTAGTAGTAGTAGTAGTAGTAGTAGTAGTAGTAGTAGTATAGTAATAGTAATAGCAATAGTAATAGATATAAGAGTAACCGTATAGTTAGTATTGCTATCAGTAAAGGTAATAGTAGTATGCTTCGTTGCGTTGTTCATTTTATTACGCCCCCTCCTCCTCTTACGCCCCCTGCTCCTCCCACGATTACTCTTCTTACGCCCCCTGCTCCTCCTCCTCTTCCTCCTCGTCCTTCTCCTCCATTCCTTTTCCTTATAGATGACTTTTCCCTCTCGCATTCCAAAGCCAGTTTTTAGAGCGGGCCCGGCGTTTCGCCTGAAACGTCCTCACCACTGATGACTCTAAAGCTTAAACATTGGCAACAATTTCGCAGGTGGAGGGCGGGTGGTTTTCACAATGTGGCTCTCGCCCCAGCGCCGCGCACATTCGTTTCACAAATGCACAATGTAATGGATCGAAGGCGGTTCCATTTCAAAATGAGGCTCGCGCTTTGGCGCCGCGTACACTCGTTTGCACATTTGTGAAAATTTCACGGATCGAGGCCGGCCCCATATCAAAATATGGTCATCGCTTCAGCGCCGCGCACATTTGTTTGTAAAATTTACAAGAAATGTCACGGGTCGTCGTGATCAGCGTACCGGAAATGGTGTTTTGGACACATTCAGGGTTATGGGGTTCAACAGTTACAATAACTCGCGGTGTAGAAGTCCCAGGAATAGCTTTTTCGGCACGATTCAAGATCGTCAAGACGCAGCAGTGAGGTTGATCCGTGGCCTTGGAATCCCGAAACAATGGTTTGGCACGCTGCAGAGCTTTCGAACGGTTGTTTCCCGACGAAGAAGTTCCCTCAGTGGAAGTGAGCCGTTGTAGGGGCCTGCGAAGAGGGAGTCTGGAGGGAGGGTCGAT